GGCCCGGCTGTGGGGCCGTGGGCCCGGCCCCTGCCCCGCTGTATGCACGTACCCGGCCGCGTGTCGCCAGCAATCCTCCCCCGCAGGCGAGAAGTGCCCGTCGAACCGACTTTGCTTTGTGCAATAGAAGACCCAACGCAGCAAGGCAGGGGTTGGCTTGTTCGGGGTTTTCAGCGGGTCCACCTGCACTCCCACGAACGCGTGCAGGATGGCATTGCTGAAGACGCGACTTTGCGGGCAGGCGTTTGCTTTGTGACTGGAGTTGCGGATCTTCTGGCTTTCCATTTGATTGCTGGGGCTTATTTTCTTCATCCAGATTTTGCCACAATGGGTAACTAATTCAAAACTCAAGGGATTAAGAAATACCTGTGGCATTTGTCTGGCTTAAATACAAAGATGTGCAAGTGTTGGCTGGTAATTGTATTGTATCTCGCTTTTTCCTTTTTTTTTTTTTCCATTCTAGAGCAGGTCTCGTAATTGGGAATTTATCAACATTTCCACTGGGGTAATTTTACAGGATTATCCGCCCTCTGTTCTTCCTGCTGTTTCATCTGGACTCTGTGGAGTTTGCTGCTAGCAATGAAGCCTTCTGTGGGGGTTTATTCATGCTATTACTGAAATGGAGCCCTTCGCGTTTGGATTAACTCTTTATTCACTTTTCACCTGAGCTGCTTGGATCAGTCTGTTTATAAAAAGGATACTACCATGCATCTCCTTTCTGTTTCCATTCAAAGTTGAACTCTCAATAACGGCTCGATGTGTTCAGGCTGTTTACTTTGCTTGAATTTTAGAGGAAGAACAGAAATATAAAGATAGATGAGACTGTAATACTGCATGGGCAGGTAAATACTTTCGATTTTTTTTTTATATATGAAGACTCGAAAACGTCTTAGAGAGTCACAAATCAAATGAGCACAGTACCTTTCGAGGTAAAAATTAGGCTGTACTAGGAAGACATTCTTCTAAGCAAGCGCAATGCTCATGATGGAAGCCACTGTCTTTAAATGGGGCCAAATGCTCCCAAGATTGAGCAAATGAAACATTCTTTCCCAGCATCTATTTTTTTTAAAGCATGGCAGTGTAAATAAAAATGGTCCTGTTAATCTATCACCGAAAAGCTAAGTATTTTTGTTTGTAGTGCAGTGTCTCTTACTGCTTGGGTTACCACCATGCCTAGGGGGCTGGGTGGTGAAGCAGAACTCCTCCTCCCAGTTGTGCAGTGCCTGCTACAACGGGCAGTCACCGCTGGAGAGGCCCTGGTTCTGTGTGCTAGCAGAATATTGAGGTTTAAATAGCCTCTGGTTTTGTCCTGTAACTTTGGCTGTGCCCGTGTATCCCTGCGGTTTGTAACGCTACCTCCCGGGCCCGAGTGGGGCCACGCTGAGGGCAGGTTATACACAGACGTGTCTGTATGAATGAAGATGCCTTTCAATCTTCAGGACTGAAAGACCGTACTAGAATTGTTACTTATTCCCGTAGGGGTTTTTCTTGCTAGGAGAAATGTATAGTATTCAGAGGTTACAGTTGTGTATGGTGAGCTTGAAAAAACTACCACTGACCTTAAAACCCCACAAGAACAATCTCAGCAGACTCCCCCTTAGGCCTGGTGTCTGAGGCAGGCGTGGACCCTTGCCATGTTGCAGTGTATCCGGGGGTCTTTAATCCACGTGTTGAGATTCTACACTGCTTTCAGTGTCAAAATACTTTACTGACATTACTGAATCCAGTCTAAATTTAGACTTCTTTATGGTGTAATTCAGAAAGCTTTCTGCATGAAGTGCTCAAACTGAGTCACAGCAGGGTTTCATCTGTTTTGTATTCCCTCTTCAGTGTTGGTGCTCCACACTTGGAAGTGTGATTATTGTACAATATCCTGCAAGATTATTAGCATTGTATTAAGTGACATAATTTATGTTCCTACGTTGAAATTGGGTTGTAGCAGCCCACTCAACAGGGAAGCTTGGCGTAAGCTTGGGGACCTGCGCTCACGATTTCTCCACTGAGCGATTTCTGCAGTTGAAGTCTTAAAGAGTTTACAAATGCTTAGGCAGGTCCCATAGAAAAAGCTGTTTAAATGCCTAACATGTACTTTTGAGCTACTAATTACACTTCCAAGATGGTGCTTATTTAAAAAAAATAAATAAAATTGGCCACGACTCAATTTTGCCTTTTGTAAGACTCAACATGAATCCTTTTGTTAATGCCTCAGAGGGCTTTTTTAATCAAGGAGGGACTAGGAGCAGAAAATATATACATGGTTGTTTACTTCAGAACCAAAATGCTTGCTGTTAGTATTCTGATTTATGCTATAATAGAGCTCTGCAGGAAGAGGTTGGGTTTTTTTTTCTTTTGGACTGGGCAAGCAGTTAGGTGCGCTGCGGAGGCTGCCGTCTGGAGGTTGTGATCACAGCCTGAATATTGTCAGGACTCTCCTGTGTGTCTTAGTTCGAGTTCCTGATACGCAACCTTTATTTTGCGAGTTAAGTGGCTGCCTAAGTTAAGCCTCTCCTAAAGGTGTTGTACCATTTTTTAATATCAGTATTTCCAAGGCTCCTTTCAGCTCTTGGAGCTCCCCCCCTTCCCTTAGCAAGGCAGCAGTGTCAGTCTGAAGACTGGGGGTTTCTAGAACATGCTGAAGGCATCTGAGCGGTAGCTCATGTCATCAGGGTACAGCATCCTGCCATAGTTCGGAGGCCACGAAGGATACCCTAATTTAGCGTACTGCATATTACAAATAATCCGTGCAGCTTCACTGCTTGAGCTCTTTTGGAGCATATTGATCAGTGAGACGGGGATCCTGCGAGTTGATCTGACTTAAATGGCGCTCCACAAAAGTTTCTCTCTGCATAGTTCAGCTTGCAGAGTCAGGGATCAGAAAAAAACTTTCAGCACTGGCTGTGCTTCAGAGACGGATCCTTTCATGTGCTTTTTGGAACAAAAGCACGTTGAACCCACACCTACAAAGACAGGCAGGCTTGAAACTGAACTAAAACCCAGCTAGGTTTGGGTGTGCGCTGTCGGATGCATGTCACCTGTCAGGAGATGGCACCATAATGGCTGAATAATAAAAAAGTATTGAGATGTTTTATGCCAAACTCTGACCGTCAGCACTTCTTAACTATTAAAAAGTTCTTTAAAAATATTATCTACCCAGCAGAAGAACTTTATCTGAGAAAGCAAGGGTCCTGTGGACTCAGGTAGAGGGCGTTTCAGTGCTGCCTTAATCACAGTTCATCTGTAGATGAAATAGAGTCCTTTCAGGAACAAGAGGTTTTTAGGAACAAGTAATCTGTGTGAAGAATAATTAAAACTAGGAGGGAATCCTTGTTTTGCTGAGAAAGGTCATGAAAGATCCAGCTGTGGGGGCTTGAGGACTGATCATGTGGTAATTGTCAGTCATGGCACAGATGCTTTTTGTGTAGGGAGCAGCGGGCTGGATCACCCCGAGCTTTCCTCTGGTAGAGTCTGTCGTGACTTCTCTCCAGCGGCAGAACTTGGAAAGCTGCTACTTTGGTTGCTCATTAACTCCACATAATCTACATCAGTACAACCCTCGGAGTACTGCTGAAAACCAACCAGTGGCGTGGCTGGAGTGGTGAGACTTTTCAGTGTTTTAAACCACTAACAATAAACCTCCCTTTCGTAGCTGGCTGTCGTCCTTGGTTTTCAGCGTTGTCTTGCAAACAGCTGCATCAGCACAACAGAGGCAGGTGATGAGGTGGAACATGAGGACGGGAAAGAAATCTTGAGTTGGTTTTGCCTCACAAGAGCGTGGTTATGGAACAGCGTTCTCGGGCTCGTTGGTTTAATTTGAAGTAAAAACAATTTCTGAATAGTCTGGTTGCTTCCATCAGGATGTGGCTAGATGGGCAGAGCTTAAACTGCATGAACGAGTTCTGTAGTGCCCTGAACTTCAGTTAGTTTTGCAATTCTTAATATTAACAAGCATTTGAAGATCTAGAGATTGGTTTTTTTTTTTTTTTAGGAAGGTGGAGATTTTTGGATTCAGATACTGACCTCTCTTTGTTAAGCTGTCATTCAGATTTATAGCAGGAACGCTGGAAATGAGCTCACGTCCAAACTTCATTTAAAATAGCTAAGTTATCTCTTACTCCTAAGTTCTGTTGCAAGGCTAAGAAAGAGAATGATGTTTGGTGTGGTGACTTCATGTTTTCACCCACAAAGCAACAGAAACGTGCTAAGTATTCTGCAGATGCGTGAAGGCAAGTGTGGTAAGGAACATTGTAGTGTACGTGCCAGTACTTAGAATTGCTAACCGAGCTGGACCAAGGTAAGAAATTGTGCAGTAGTTACTGTAAACAAGAATTAATGTTCTGCGTATCGTGCAGAATCATAACTGAATTGTCAGATAGGACTGTCTGGACACAACCAGTGGAGTGGGAGTTGGTATTGTGTTAACGGGTTGGAGGGTAGGGCCGTTCTCATGAGCTTTCTGAAGGCGTTTGTAGGTGAAGCTCTTAAGCCTTGGTCTTACTGCCTAGCTGCGTTTTTTAAAACTTGAAGCCAAATGTTTTATGATGGAACTCTTCCTTTTAAAGTTGATCTTTTAGGTTCCATCTTATTCGTGCAGTATATAATAATGTAACGTGAGTAAATTCTTAAAGTAATTAGTGAACCTGGCTGATCTTTTAATGTATTGGCATTTCAGAATACACGAAAATAGAAAATGCAAAAATCTGAATGGTGTATAGTAGTCATGAGCTAGCCGAAGTGTTTCTAGGGATACCAGTTAAAGGTCAGCCTTTGCTTTGCAATTTGGTTTTGTGTTAATGTTTGTTTTGTATACAGCAGCCTTTTACTATAGGCATAATTACATACAATTGCTGCTAATTAACTGTTCTAATCATCTGGACTGTGTGCTACACTGAGAACATTTGGCCATGGTATTTCAAATCATTAGATGTTGTGCAGGGTAAGGGGGTGGGAGTTTTGAGTTCTTTATTGTGAGTCAGATAAAATGGATCCATCTTGTAGGTCTGCCTGGAAGACGGAGCAGTCCAGGACCTCTGCGCTGAATTGTGCCTTTTGTGTTCTGACCATTTTAGAGTTCTCTTTTGAACCCAAGCTGGTCTTTATAGCAACTGAATGTGGAAGTGAAAACTGCTGCTTTGCACTAGTGAAACTGTAGTAAATAAGCTTTTCACACCTTCCAAGGTTTACAGGGTTACGTGTGCACCATTAAAATATTGGGCTGCTGGTTGCTCATCTGAGAGGAAATTGTGACTGCAGGTGGAGTGGGGGGGTGGC